TTCTGACATAGTTTGATGTTACTCTGGTTTACAGATTTAATGAATATAACCAAAGAAGTTACGATTCATGGACCCAACGTTTCGACACTCCTGTCTAGTGCCTTCATCAGGGGTGATCTAAACGCTGCAATAAGAGGTCCTTTTATATGATCACTAATTAGCGGCCTTTTTTCTGACGAGGTGTGAATAGGCGTCAGGAAGCAAACCAGGAAGCAAGAAAGGTTTTTTTGTAGCCATTTACCTTTAGGGCATTAGAAACATATTTCCTCTCCTCAGCCTTCGAATCGAGTGAAGATGGTAGACAGTCAGCCCTCCTGAGTAAAGTTTTGGCTACAGACTTTTTATGGCAAATAGGGTGTTGAGAATCGAAAGCGAGGTATTTGTCGGTGTGGGTAGGTTTACGATAGACACTTGTCTCTAAATGACCCTGAACCCCTCTGGACACATTTAAATCAAGAAAGGGCAAATGTCTATCCTTTTCACGCTCAAGGGTGAATTGGATCGACCACCTCCGCTCCGGTTAAATTCTTAAAATGTTTTGAAAAATATATCTTATAGCTTGAAAAGCGGCTAACTGATCATTCAAATGACTTTCCTGTTGATCTGGATCAAATTTTTCATTACTTATCATATTTCTTCTCCTTTTCAGATACAGATACTGACACAAGCTCATACAAAATCACGGTCGAGTTGTTGGTGTCGGTGTCGGGATGCTTAGCTTTCATCGCCATTATCCTATGTGTGTATTGGGTTTGCTGTAGGGGATGAACCCAGGCCTCGAAAATCAATGCGGATCTATCGAAAGTTGCCTTTTTGACCTTTTACACAGCATACTTAGTGTTAAGCTTAAAACGCTACATGCAAGATGAATTAAGTCAAATGTTTGTAGAGCTCCTTTAATTAAAATTGTGTAAGGACAAGCCTTTGCCTAACTACTTATTTGAAAGGAAAAGTGAAAAATGGGTGAGCGAAACATGGTGTAAGCGATAGCCTGTTACAAGTTATACAAGGACTCGAACCGGGATTCTAGTCATCAATCGATTTACGCTCGAACTAGTTAATCAGTTAGGGGAATATGCTTATTTTCCGACCCTTTGCCGCGTTCAAACTTCTAATGAATGGAGCCTTTAATCAACACCACATAGACGAAGATTTTCACATCTTTTACCACGAGTTATAAAACTCATAACTTTCTTTCTCTTCAAATATATATTTTTTCGTGAACATATCAAAAATTAAATATTGCTTGTTAAGAAAAAGGGATCACCAAGCTCGTTCACGAGCAAATGACAAATGACACGCCATTTTGTCAAGGAGCGCGCAACCCATCCGCAACGCATTGTGCGCAGTAGGGATACGCAATCGGCAAGACTTTGAATTAAACAGGTTTATTGAATCTCTAAAAACTCCATCGACGTTGATGCATAAATGTAAAGTATCAAAACTTAAAAAGAGAAAATCATAACCTTAATTTTCCATGTATATGTTGTTTAACCGCGGTGTACTCTGAATGAAATGTTATCAATGATAAAACCCGAGTGCGACGTCAATATCATGCAAAGCTGGTTAGAATTCTCACTCGAATGATGGCTCAAGTCATCAAGAGATTTTTAAGTATCTTTGCATTGAAATGACCTTTTAGGCTGCTTTTTCTCAATATAACCAGGTGATAATTTTACTCCGCCCTAAATTCCAAACCATATCCTCTCTGTGTCATTTTTAACCATGAAAAGTTGCATACATCACGAATTAATCAACGTGACCCTCTTTTGGATTCAGTAAATACAACTTGTGCTGACAAAGAAAAGACGAAAGATGTGTTTTGCACCAAATTTCAACTTTATGATCGACTAGGGAATAATTTGCATTCTCTTAGCCATTGGACATGTTGAAATTTCCGCAATAATTGCATCATTGATGATATTTACTGAATAAACGATTAAGATTTTTACCTTAGTCTTTCTGCTATTCCTTGAATGCGAAACCTTTTTATCCCCTTTAAGGCTAAAGAAACGTCATGAAGTAATCACACTTCTTTAGAAGAAAGGAGACACCTCATTTCTCGTTGTTTCTGTGGTTTATGGCCATGTTCTCCGAGGCATACTGTGGTGCAGTAAATGTGGGGGGAGGGGGGAGGGGAAGTGAAAGGTTGAGTATATAAAAAGCAGGTTAATATCTTTTTTACCCGTGCGGAAATTATTTCTTCAGCGTCTAGCGCATTTTTAATCAAAATATTGATAAGACTACCGGACAAAGACTCATACTTCGAAACAGCAAAGAATCAATAGAGAATTTCAATTTCACATCAAATGTTGTCATCAAAGGAAATTCTATTTCGTAACCACTGATTAAGAGCCGCAATGTTTCTTTTCTATTTTGGAGGCGAGCTTAGCTATTTTAAGTTACCTAGTCAATGACCGTTATATTTCCTTTCGGGTACACGGTCAAAATCGGCCTGCGGCAAATCTTCCAGTTATCGATTTTCGTTCTCAGCCGCGAGAAAAGCCATTATGTCTCTAACTAAAGCGTGGAATCTAGCTAAAAATCGATATAATGAGTAAATATATTCGTTGACATGGGAAAACAGCTTTCGTTTGAAATATAAATCGCTTGAATAAATAAATGTGGTGAGGTTCAAAATTCTGTTGGTGATGTTGCTGACTGTCATTCAGAAAACAAATATCGCAGAGTAGTATTCCAGAGTTGATTCATTCGGGCAGTTAAAATCGTTAAGATCTATATCATTACCTGTAATGGGAAAGTTCCGTTTCTGTAATACTGTACATTATCATCTAATTGAAACTTATTTTCAATGAATTCTGATTTCTTAGTCCCACCTCCTCCTCAATCTGTTCATAACGCCGGACACAGAAAATTGACTGAGAACAGCGTTTGCATTCATAAACGCAACATGCCCTTTGACTAGTTTCTTTTTCGGTAAATTCCAAAACAGTTACTATTAGGACATAGAACAAAACTCGAAATGTTTGATTTTGAAGAAAATTATTATTCTACATCTTCTACATAAAGCATTGAAAACAAGTATTATTCAAAGCGTTTCGTGGCATTTTGTTACCTGAGGCATATTTCGTGAAAGCTTCATTGTTATTTTATAACAACGATAATGTCAAATTGACATATTGAGTTGAAGTCTAACGAATATTTAACTCTTGTTTAACCAAGAGGGATTTAATTATCCATCTAAACTGTATTCAAAGTATATATTTGCGTTTTGTTTACCTTTCTTACTAATCCGCTGCAAAGATTAAGGAAGTTCACGTTATGCAAAAGGGCGAACGACTTCCTTAACAACAGAGAACACAACTCAGTAAACAGAAACCACAACACAATAACATTTTTGATCAAAGTTCTAGAGCCTGTTTACACATAGAAAGTCATGGAATTTTTTCAATTTTTAATAACCTTTTCTTCGGTCAATTCAAAGTGGACCTAAAGTTTACAATTTGAATATCATCATATTCACTTCTCCGTTATCGATAGAAAAAAAACGAAATTTGTTTTGCGAACACAATCCAACCGTATGTGACAGCGTTTATTCGTCATGTCTCGCCTATGGATTACAGTGACAACTTCTATTCCGTGATAGACATCCGTTGTTCAGTTCTGAGAAAGGAAGATTTCGTTTCTTAGAAGCTAAAACGGAACCGCTTGTATTTACCTTATCAAAATATTCCATAAAATATTCGCGGACTTTACAGTTTGTTCTATCGAGATGTTGTGAACAAGGGTATGATAAGCAGTTGCAAAATCAAACCTAAGAGATTTTTACGTAAAGGAAACAAAAGAAACTCTGAAGTCTGCAAGTGATTCATCCTACACAGTGACGAAACAATTAAAATCGCACAAGATTACACGGTCTAAGAAGCAAATCTGCTCTAAGCATTTATTGGATGTTGAGCTTTGATATCGAGGTCTTGAGTTGGTTTCTGTTTTTTTGTTGTTCTTTAATTGGTTTTCAGATGTTTAACTCTGAATATGGGAGAGGCATCGTAGGGAAAATTGCCGGTTGCTTAAGCGAAGCTCAGGAAATGGCCAATTGTTAAATTATAATACTCCGCACGGTACTTCTTTAATTTAATAAAAATCTACTTTTAATCTTTAATCTCCTTTATAGATTAGATTGGAACGTAAGAGGTGAGCCGCAGAAAAGACAACTTTTTGCAGTCCAATTCCATGGCACATTCAAGCGGAGGTTTAATTGGGGGAAGTTGCACCGGTGGAGTTTTTGTACTCTGCTTGCTGATGTACATAATTTACAGATTTTTAAGATCGGATACAAGAACTCATCCAGGTAATTCTTCCGAGATCGTTATCCGCGTTGAAGCTGGAGTCTCTTCACAACAAAATGGAGCTAGTGCCGACGAACTTCCTCCTCCATATTCAGCATTTTCTGAGCCCTGCTCTATTGAGCCGGTTTGTTTTTCTGCTGGAAAGAAATGAGTTGTATTCACAAATTCTTTATGCGATGGAGTTTTTTGGCATATTATGATATCAATGTCATTCCTCGTGGCTTTTCAGAATTTTGTAGAGCTCTGTAATGCGATCAGCTAAATAAATCTTCATTACGATCTGATTATGTGGATGTGTTGTCATTATTTAACTATGCACAGCCACCATAACAGACATTTTTTTTTCCTATCTTTGGCCAAGTACGGTTTCGTTATCTGCTAAATACAAATCACGCGAAGTGCATTAAGGGGTACATGTCTTCTGCTCTGGCGCTTTAAGTGACTGAAATCAACGTTCCAAATTCCAGATCTGCCAAAAAAAATTCCAATTTGAAGTGAGATACCGTAATTGGTCTTTTAATCTTCTCTTGTTTTAGCTCACCCCCCTTCCCCAGAGATATTTCCGGAAATGCATGCACAACGCAACACAGTAAACAGAAACCTCAGTAAAGTAACATTTGTGTTCAAACTTCTAAAGCCTGCGTTCTACATATAAGGGATCATATGACACGTCGTAGTTTTAATCTCCGTGTTATTACGCCATTCAAAGTGGACCCAAAGTTTACAATTTAAAAGTTAACCACTTCCTTACTGGTGGAAAAATGAAATTCGGTTTGTTAATATAATCTAACCGCATGTGACAGCGTCCATCGGGTTGCAGTGTTCTAGTGTCGCAGTAGATTACAAAGTAATCCTTACAACTTCCTTTCCATAAATAACAATGATTATTGAATTCCGAGAAAGGAAGATATCGTTTCTTAGAAGCTGAAACGGAAAGTCACGCTTGCCGTAGCGAAAAATTCATTCGAGTAATCCTTCTGAGCTTGTTATTTGCATTGAACCAGAGCCTCTTTAAAGCAAAATGGAGCTACTGCCGACGAACTTCCTCCTTCATATTCTACATTTTCTGAGCCCTGCTCCATTGAGCCGGTTTGTTTTTCAGCATGAGAGAAATGATTCGTATTTACAATTTCCTTTTTAGAGGAAATTTTTGTCCCGATCATGATATCAATTTCATGTTTGTAATTTTGTAGAGCTCAACTGCGTTACACAAAGTTGATTATTGTAATGCAATCAGCACATTAAAATTGAGAAATTTTCACTACAATATGACTGTGCTAAAACTAAATCATATGCAGTCATTATATAACTAGGCAAGCCCACAATAACTGATATGCGTGACATTTACATCAAAAGCACTATCTTTCAAGAAAAACAAGTCACTCAAGGGCCATTTTTGGGAGCTCGGTAATTTCTTGTTCCTTCCGTAATCATCTGAGCAATAATATTATGGTTAACTGCTCTTCTCAAAACAGTTTATGGTACAAGGGGTACCTTAGGGATCCCTTAAGAGACAGAGGAATATCAGTTGGCTACTTGCAAGACCCAGGCAGACTATAAACATCAACTTGGCTTAAATATTATGACTCGATTTTCTTTCTTTTCTTTATATAACTTGTATAACTTGTATAACTTGATGGATAGGATGATAAAAAAAACACACTCCGGCGACTGAGCCAATGACTACTCCGCAAATTCCACCCGTCGACAAAGATGAATCTATAAAAGACAACAAAATGATCGAGGCAATGAAAATTGTCGATAAAATGAAACTGAAGCAGGCGAAAAAAACCTATGTATCCCAGGTTAGCGCAAGAGAATAATACGTGTGAGTTTGAACCTTGGTCTTAGTTTCAAAAACATTTATCCATTTTGAGGAATGTTTTTTGAAATATTTCCTTTTCTGTGGTTATTTTTTTCCGTATTAGTATTCGGAAACGAGCTCTAGCAGTGCTTCTAAATTTATCCTTCGTAAGGTAAACGGGGCATTGAATAAGGGGTTATGAATACAGTAAGACATATGTCTTGCCACTGGATCATAAGGAAGCTAGCAGACACTTAACAGTTGCCAACCTGTAAATATTACCTTCTTTCTCGCAGCAATTTCCACCAAAGCCTTTCTTACAGAAACATGTTTCACCTCTTAAACTTCCTCCGTTTAAACAACTCGTGAGAGGACAGGCTCTTGTTTTATAGAAGGTGGACATACATACTCCTCCACACTGTTCTGTTGTTATTCTGTGACGATAAATTGTCTGTTTCCCTGATACGCCACACACAGAAGTGCAAGCGCTCCATTCTGACCAAGAGCTTAAGTGACAATTCATCGGTTTATATCCATAACACAGCCGTGTTTCATCCAGATCAGGGCACTGCGCTCCCCCACAATTTGGCGAGGACTGTACAGTTCTTGATCGTCTTTGGGATCCTTGTTGCTCACACTGATCTGTGCTGCACGTGCTCCAGGACGACCAAGAACTAACTTCGCAGCTTCGCGGAGTACAGCGACGTCGACGACGCCTTCGCCAAGCATCACAATCAGGAGCGATAACGAACAAAACCATCAGCATAAATACAACGAAATTCTTAGCGAAATACATTGTTGGTAGACACTCGGGAATCACAGCTTATCCCAAACAAGAACGAAGTTCAATGCCGGATATTTGGGAATCTTTCGCTTTTACAATCAATCGTGGTCTTTTAGTAATATATCAGACCTTTCTCGTTTCTAACCAGTTAAAAGGGCAACAAATTCAATAGCTTTTGCACTGACGAAATTTTGGTGTATTCCTCATTTGATTGGCAGCATGATCATTGTCTGTTCAGGGGGAGAGGGGTGGGGAGGGAGTGGGGTATAAGCAAAATTTTCAATACGATGCATCGGCGTCTGGATAACATTTTTTAGTGAAACAAAAAGTGGAGTTGATCATGATTTCTTGTTTGAAATATTTTGCGCTTCTCTTTATGATAATTCTGGTGACTGTTAGTCAAGCCCACTTGCAGCCAATGTCAACTTTTTTCTGCTCCAAATGTAACATTTCCTATAAGAGAATTCCATCTTCATCGAATGCGCACCACAGGAAGGACAATCGAATCACGGAAATTGCTACTGGCACTGGGAAAAGAAGCGACTCTTGCTTTCGTTTTGTTCTTGCGCGGCCCAGCGAAGGTAAGACAAATTAGATATTGTTAGGTCTAAACAGATAGTTCTGTTGCACCTACTAAATTTTTTTTATGAAGTCTTGAAGGTAAACATAAGTGTAATGAAAATGAAACGATTTCGGACTCCATCGAATCCCTCCAGAAATATTAGTCGCTGTTCATTAGTCTTTAAAGGCGAAAAGCATGAAAGATTGCCTATTTGTGCCAGTTTTAAACTCAAGTTACAATGTGTGGATATGCTGTGAACAAAAAAGCGAAAAATTATAGATTTGTACGAAAGTGAGTAAAATTAAATCACAAGAGCGTAGCAGTCTCAAGGCTGCCTCGATCAAAAACATGCCCTGAAAAGATACTTTAATAACTTTCAGCGCATAGAATTTGACGTTATTGTATCCAATATGTTCATTGCGATGTAGCTGTTTAGCTGTTTGACGAGAGTTGAATTTGGGCCGTCCCGAAGCGGTTCGTTTTATGGTTTTAAAATTAATCCTCTCTTCCCCCCTTCCCCCCCCGTTCGTAAGTATATATATATGGAAATTTGTGTTCAGATTATATCACTGTTCTTCCGTTCTTTTGTGTACTTTTGTTAGACTGAATAAATTTATCTATGAAAGAGAGTTGATTAATTTGTTTTTAACTTCCGTGTTTCGACTCCGAAGGGAGGTCACGCCAGTAGTCCAATGTGACTTAGTTTTTATATAATGCAAGACATCTGTGGCCTTCTTTTATTGAAAAGAGTGAAAAAAAATGGTTGAAAAAATAAACGAAAGCAGACCAAAGTAACGTTATGTACTTGCAGTAACGTAAGAAAATATTCTTCATTCAGAAAAAATTCTTTCTTCGTTCTTTTTTTTTTGTTTTGAGAAACGTCGTAATTGTATTTCCATTGACACTCGTGACTGACGTATCGGACTTCCGCTTCGCGGTCGTCCAATTTTGTTCTCACTCGTAGGATTTACGACAGAATTGGACTCCGTTCAGTCCCGTTACCATCATTAATAATCAATAGAAAATAATGGGACCATTATTTTCTCTTGTGACAAAGAAATAATTATATCTATCTCTGTCTCCTACTTGTCCTTCCCCATTAGATGCGTGTGACGTAGAAGAACAGAGTCACCAATTTCCAGGAGTCATGACCAATTCAAGCGGGCTTGAAATCGGGGGATCCTGTTCCGGTGCTGGAGTCATTCTTTGTATTTTGCTGTACTTCCTCTACTGGCTGCTGACGCATGACCAGAAGGACAAAAGAAAGAGGGTAGATGTTATGATCATTCAAGAAAGCCAGGCGCCTGGCGAAGCCCGCACGGCATGGGTCTAACGAGCACTCAGCTTACTCTATTTTATGCCTTATTTACCTCAATTAATCCTGCTTAGCTTGGCTAGAACATTAACTTAAAAATCTACATATTTATCTAATTTGCATTTAAAATTTTTTCAACTACTGCGAAATAAGAGTTATTTTGGTGTTCTCTTGTTGCTTGGATTTGTATTCACGAAACACCGGACAAAGTTATGTTTTGAAGACATTCATCTAAAGGGTTACTTTTTAAATGTACCTTTTGATCGAAGGTTTGCTTTTTAGAGAACGAGTTTGAGGGGCTCCTGAGTTAATTTTATCACTTCGTCTCTAACAATGAATGCAAAGTTCAATAAAAAAAGTTCATTAAGCCTTATTATCATATAAACTACGGTGTTATATACGGATTTCCAGCCCCGAGAAAAGCCGTAACAACACACGTGAAAAAATACGATACTTTTTCACGTGTGTTTGATTTCGCCAATCAGCTGCTGACACGTCACTCCCCTTTCACGCCACTCCATCTCAATCCAAGGTCGTTTTTCGGAACTTTTTCGGGTTATGGCTGCTAAACACTAAAAAATCCGTATCGCTAACGTAGTGCTAACGTATCGCTAAGTGATGTTCAAACTTAACTTAAAAGGAGAAAAAACCAAAATATGAAAAAAAAACTGAAAGTCACGTATTCGGTGGCTTTGGTAATGGCATTTCTCGTGGCTGAGAACGAAATTCGACAACTGAAAGATCTGCCACAAGCTGATTTTCGCGGTGTACCTGAGAGATTTCTTCTGTCGCTAAGGACCAATGCAATAACTGACAATTTTGTCTATTGAAAATTAGGGCCATTGCTTGGTTTTATAGTGATTCAAGGCATGTTTTCTTCTTGAGTGCGCACGTATTTGCGATCTTTTATTCGGAGATTGTCGATCCTTTTATTTTCATTCTTTAATAAAGTCGATTTTTCTTGTCATTGAAGGGCTATTGTGTTAATTGATATGGTAGACAAAATAATACATAGTTATTTGTAGATATGAAATTTCTCTTCTCGTTTTCAACTAGACATCTACGCGCGTCCATATATTATTGTCTATTCACAACAAGCGAGATTGAGAAAAGCGGCACTGTCACGTGCTTTGTGGACAGCTTTTAAGAAAGTAGCATTTTTACTTGCCTTCAATTTGAGTGATACAATAAAATTGATATAACCATGAACATTCTGGTATGAAATGATCATCTTACTTGTGAACCTTTATATGATCAATGAATTAAGTATCTTGCGGAAGAACAAGGAAGGTCAAACTGAAAAAAAGAAGAAAGAAATACATGAACAAAATAGAAATATACGAGAGTGGTCCATTCGCAATCTAATGGCTTCGCCAATGTTTCCTTTATTCAAGAACTGAAATATGATGAATATGGATCGTGCAGAAATCATACCCAACAAGTTCTACACTGATAATTCAATGACATTTTGTAAAACGCAGTTAATGAATATTTACATAGGAAACAAAAAGCGAAAAGATGAAGAACAAAAAATCATCCCATGTAGGCTTGTAGAAACAAATGCTTCGAATCGTAATGAAAGGGTTTTCGCGTTGCACTTTGTAATTTTGCAAAGGATTTACTCTGATACACAGAACTCTCTGGAAAGGAAGTAGCTATTCTTTTCTCGTTTGACTTCTTTAGTGTTGAAGCGCCTTGTATGCAAAATTGGGTCATTTAAGATTGTTAATAATTATTCTATACAGCCACGCCTGTACAGACCCTTAAAAGATAAGTAAGCTCCGAGTCATTGTAGGTTATATAAACGGAGATACAAAATGTAAAAGTGCTCTTTGCCTTTGTAAAGTTTTATCATTAAGTACGACAGATGATATAGAATAACTTGTAGAGATATTTTATCGTTTCTGATTTTGGGAATTAACCTCAGCCTCGTAATGAGCTGATGCATTAATTGCCTTGCATTGCATAGGTTTCATAAAGGTGAAGTTAAAAAAGTGCGAAACTAGATGTTGAGTTCTTAAACTGGAAGTTACTTATCTGTCAGTGTAATTTAAATCAAGATGGAAGTCATAATTAAAATGATTTTCTATAGTTTAAATCTTTTTTTCATAATCATTTTTATTCTTTTTCATTGTTTCGAAAATAAACGATTTTGTCTCAAAAGTTATAATATATTCAGCAATGAACCTTTGTCAGGAACAATGCTCGGAATAAATGGCATAACATCACCAAACTGCGTTCATAATAATTATAAGCTCCAATGATTGGAAGAATCTTATCAGCAAATTTAAATTCAAATGATCTTTATCAGAGACCGTGAAAAAGTGAATGACGTGATGGAGTTTGAACTCACAACGGCTCACGCTTCTTGACCGCGCATGCGTATTCGAGTCAAACTGTTAAGAGAATTCGATTAATGTAACTTCTGGAAAAAAAATTGCTCCATTAACAAGTCTAATCTCTAAAAGTTAATGAAAATCTGTGTAAGTCTTACTGAATCGTTTAGTTCCATTCCGTCTCAATTCAAGTTAAGCTGGGGTTGATTATTAAAAGTTGGCATAAATAACCTTACTCAAATGTTATGAAGGAATTTGTTCCCTCCTAACGTCATCGAGAATGTTGTAAGAAAATTTCATAACAATAACTTCCCCTCCGACTCTTTTCAGAGCGCTGCTCATAAGAAAAATTGTTTGTATTTTAAATTACCGTACATCGGTCCTTTTTCCATCACAGCGCAACGCAGAATTAAGAAATTAGTAAGCACATTTTGCAGTGACCTTGACATTTAGTTGGTGTTCACCCGTTTAAAATTTAGAGTTGGTTCGGGGCCAAGGATCCTATCCCTGCGGGTTTACGATCGCAAGTTATTTATAAGTTTTCATGTGCAGGCTGTTATGCCTCTTATGTTGGTGAAACCAACAGACACGTCGCCACTCGCATCCGCGAACATCTCTCCTCTGACAAACATTCCCACATCTTTAAGCACCTGAAAGGTTCTGAAAATTGTCGCTCCCTTTGTTCAAAAGATTGTTTTAAAATTCTGGACTCTGCTTCCACAAGCTTCCAATTGAAAATTAAGGAAGCCATGCACATCCTTTGGGAGCAGCCGTCTTTAAATTCCCAAGTAAAACATATTAATTTATCCCTTTCATACTAATTAGTCACCCTTCTTAGCTTAACTAGTTGCACTTTTTTTGTTTTAATTATTCTTGTTGACATCTCACTTTGTTTTACTATTTATTACATAATTTCATTATATTTCTCATTAGACAACTGATGATGGGTGATGTTTTATCCGAAACATGTTTTCATTAAAATATCTATATCTATATCTATATATATAAAATGAACTTCAAAAGCATCGCGTGGTTCATCATAGTTTATGATCAGCAATGACTAAACGCTGGACTGATAGATCAAGAAGGACCTTAGCTGATCTTACACCGACGGAGAAGTGGAAAGTGGAAGGGGGGGGGGGGGGTTAAGAGCGTCAGTTGCCCTGTTCAGTTCATTGTGTTCTGTTTTTTGTGGGAGACTCGTTTCTCTCATAAAGTCTTTCTTTTATTTAGGAGTATGAATGGTTAACCACGGATAGACAGGGGAATCTGAAGAAATGGAATGGGAAAAATATACAACTGCATCTTTCATTTTCTTCAAGCGAATTAGTTTTTGGATCCTGTCAGGCGCCATGATGGCAGCCACGATTTTCGCTCTCCGCAATTTGTGTCTAATTCTGCTGCTGTGTTCCGGTTTTTTTAAGTTTATTTCACCATGTCGGTACTGCTAGGGAACGTGCTCTACAACCAGCCTTCTGTTGGATACCGAGGTTACATTTTATTTGCCACAGAGATTTTCCGAGTTACAACCCAAGTCGACCGATCGTTAGCTGGAACAAACGCGGCTTCATGTGCCTATCCCTGCCTGCCTCTGATCCAACTATCGTTATGGACGTTGAAAGAAATCCTGGTCCTTGTTGTTCCTTGTTAAATAACACGGCCCATTTTACTACAAGCTCTTACAATGTTCGTGGACTTGACCTGGGACATCAGAAGCATTATCCACCTTCTTGCATATCTTACGAGAGGAACCGGTTACTGTCTCTTCGTCATTGGAGTAAGCACTTCTGTTCGCCTGAATTTCTGGGGAAGTTAAAATCTATGGATCTTTTGAGAAACCGGGGGAAGCGTGCTGGAAGGTTGAATAAGCAAAAATCAATGGGAAATGGTCTTAGGATTCCTGTGATTTGTTCTGGTCGTCGCCATTACAGTGTTTCATTAAATATTCAAAATGCCACTTCAACGTTACAAATCTGTGAATCACGCCCTTTAGGTGTCAATGTGAACAACTTAATTTGTATTCGTCCGGATCCATTGCGGTTTAAATTATCGACCGTTGTACCTTTGGATTTTTGCCTTTTGAATGCTCGATCTATTTGTAACAAGTCTCGGCTGATAAATGATTTCATAGCTGATCACAATATCGACCTCTTTGCCCTGTCAGAGACGTGGCTTCGTGGTGATGACTCGGATTTATATTATTTCCGTGACATTTGTCCAGATGGATATGTTTTCCACCATGTCCTTCGATTACATACTACTGGTGGCGGGGTTGGCATTGTTCTCAAGAATAATATCAAGGCAAAAATTCAAGCACATGAATCCTATTACTCTTTCGAACATCTTGAGCTGGAACTCAGGGCTACGAAGTATTTTGTCTATTTAATTGTCTTGTACTATCCTCCTTCATCCGATGTGTCACTGTTCTTTGATGAGTTTGCTAGCTATCTTGCCCATATAGTAACGGCATCAGGCTATTTGCTGATTGTTGGTGACTTCAACTTTCATGTTGATTCTCAAAATAATGCTGGTCGGCGATTTACTGGCCTTCTTCATTCATTTAACCTTCGCCAGCACGTAAATGATTCTACGCATAAGAATGGCCATACTCTTGACCTCGTTATCACTAGAGAGGAACAATCTTTCATCAAGAATCTCTTAGTCTTTGATCCTGCACTTTCTGATCATTTTATGATCCGGTGTAATCTGGATTTTTGTAAACATATTGCTCAAGATCAAATGTTATCTTTTCGACGTTTAAGTGCCATTGACATGTATAAGTTCTCCTCTGACTTGGAAGAATCCGCGCTAATTAGATCACCTCTAAATGATGACCTTTCATTAGTTATTGATCAATTCAACTCCACTCTGCAATCTATGATCGACAATCATGCCCCAATCATTCGTAGGTCTGTTACTCTTCGCCCTTATGCGCCATGGTTTACGGACGAAATTAAAGTTGCAAAGAGAAAGAGAAGAAAACTGGAAAGACGATGGCGCACGCATAACACCGAAGCTAATCATCTACTATACACCGATTAGAAAGTTTTTGTCAGTTAGTAGTACTAAGGCGTTAGTACACGCCTGCGTCACATGCAGATAAGACAACTGTAATTCTCTGTTCTATGGTCTTCCAAAACATTTAGTTCATAGACTGCAATTAGCCCAGAATTGTGCGGCACGGCTGATCTTATGTGGTCGCAAGCATGATTACGTTACTCCTTTACTGAGGGAACTGCACTGGCTTTCCCTAGAGCAGAGGATTATTTTTAAAATCTTATTTTTTACTTTTAAAGCTTTAAATAATTTATGCCTGAGTTATATCAGTGACTTGTTAGAAACTTGTAAGCCTACTAGACTTTTACGATCATCCAGTAGGAACTTGTTAGTGATTCCTCACTCCAAGTTGAAATCTCATGGCGATTACGCCTTTTCTGTCTCTGCACCTAAGCTGTGGAGAATGACATTCCTGAATACATAAAATGTAGTCTTAAAACTTATCTTTTTAAGCGTTATTTTTATGAATGATTACGTTTGATTATTATTTTTATCTTTTTACTTTGATTGTGAAGCGCCTTAGAGCTTTTGGATAGGGCGCTGATCGAATATATTTCTGTGTGCATTACTTACTACAACAAATCGTTGTTTTTTCAATAGTGTACTTCACTCTCAAGACGTCTTTCTCTATCTAAAGATATAGATGGATAACTGCAATCTGAAAGGTTAATCTAATGTTCAACTGAGTTTTTTTTTCTGAAACAAAAACCGTCTTATTATTTATCAAACCAAAAAGGGAATTTCAGAGTGTACATGTGTTACTAACTACGAGATCATTGTTTTCTAGCAGTGTATTTGTCAACAAAATATGAAAACTGGATACCAATACAGAGATGTTGCATGCACGAGGAAACCTTGTCACTTCATTCGAGCTCCGCGGTTAAAGAAATTTCGTCACTGCTGAATAGGAAGGAAACACTTGATACTTACGACTAGATTTCAAGCGAGTCTCGCATGCTATTTATTTGAACTATTTTGCGGAGGATCCCATCCCTTCCCCTGCTATTATATAGTAATAATATTCCGATAAAATGAACATTTGTTGTTACTGTTCCTTTAATCACTTGCATGCACAGAAAACTCAGAAAGATTGAAATTAGCACCAAGACCATAGCCATGTGAACATAAAAGTAATGCAAAACTATATAATTTCAGCATGTCCTCACCATATTAAAATTGTTTTTCGCTAGAAATGAGAAATTAGATTCACTGGTGCTTTTAAAAAATTTCATTTAACTGGCCAGAAAATATGCTTGAATTAAAGGCCACGACTCTAATATATAGAAGATTCTCACATACTATTTACCAGGCCCTATCCGAGGCTATACCTCTGTTAGTGGAGATAAATCAACCTAGGTCCTTTTTCCGTAGTTTCTCCGTTTCAAATACAACAACTACTCCAGATTAATTCATAATGGCTTTATGTCTATGATATACCTACTCGCAAGGACAACGAAGATATAAATTCAAAGAAAATCTACATTTAAAGTTTTTCTTTTCTTACTTTACAAACATGCAATTATAAGCAACTATAAATCTGCTCAAATGATGCTGTCGCACCTCAACGCATAATTTATCGACTCCAAGCTCAGGAAGAGTATTTTCCCTTAGATCTCTCGCAAATAAGTCTTCGGCCGCTACCTTGCTTCTTGCTACTGGTTCTTGCTGTGTCAATCGCCTTCTTCCAGTATTCATATTCTAATTTACATTAGATCTGCGATAGCTGGTAGCTCGCAGTCGACTAATGTGTCATAGATTTCTCCAACACTCAGGTGGCGATGCTTTCCCACAGCGCTAAGGACAACGTCAGAAGGATTCGTAACTCTCTTGTCTAGAAAGCGAATCTGGATTTGGGATAAACCCAGCCTTTCTGCCAACAGTTTCCACTCGTCTCCACCTACGTAGAAAAACATATTATGCTCTTTTATAAACTGTGTTACTATTGAAAAACAGAACTTTGACCTGTAGACTGTATGGTTGAATGACTTAAAATTGCTCACATTTTCTTAGAGCCCGATATCCTCCAAATTTCGTCTAAATTATTGTCAGCTCATCCTTCTGGAAAGGGTTTTGACGAAAGCGGACGAAATTTAGCTAACTGTAAAATTATCTAGCCGGAATATAATCTGAAAACGCATCTGCAGAATCGAATCTTGTTAAGGCCCGAGTTTTTTCGAGAGTCCTTTTAGGAGTCGAGAGACAACAACCTATGAGTTCAATCAAAGATTAAAACAAGTTTATGAATAAATTGGTGTGCGGACGCCACCCTAATTCCTTACCCGAGAGGCTGAACGTTAAATCCTCGTATTGTTTATATGGCATGCAACCAACTGACATATCCTCATTCAACAACGGTCCTGTAGAGACAAACAACAGAAAAAGAAGATAAATATAGCTGAATTTATTTTAGAATACTTAAAACAAAGACAAAAAATAGACATATTAAAGCAGATCAAGAGGGCATTAACAGCAAATACAACTTCACAATAAAATCAAGCTCACGTCGACATTAATTTAATGGTGCATTGAGAGGACGTTTGTGTGAGAACTTCTTTATATCTTAGAAACCTATCCCCTCTCCCCAGTGCGAAAAAAAATTTCATCTTCTCAAACTCACCAGTAGTGCCAGCAGGTGTAATATCTCGTAAGTGTCTCACCAAATCATCCCGTTTCTCAGATTTAGCTCTCAGGGCGAGGTCACGAATCATACTTTTCGTCTCAGGCTCTGGAATGGCCAAAGATGCTGGTTTCAACTGCAGAGCTTCTTGAAACTGAATTACAATATCCTTAACATTACTTCCTGAGTTGAGTGGAATGGACTGGATGGAGGTTTTGATACTCTCGGGCAGCTCTTTCCATTTCTTTCCTTGAAAATGATTTAGAACGAATTGAAATAACGAAATTAAATGAAATAAGAGAGAGTTAAGTAGACGGAATGTATTTTGCTGACACTCAAATATTTTGAGTTGGTTAAAAGTCTGTTCCAGGAGAAACAACGGTATTAATAAAATTGCTCCTAAAATTATACGAGAAGGGATCTTGTTGGCTCTTTCTTTAGGTACGACATTGTTATTATGATATAATGACATGAAAGATAGCTACCTTTACCTTCTATAGAAAATATGCGTTTCGCACCGAGGGAACCTCCATGACTTGTTGTGTGAAGAGCTTGCAACTGCTAAGAAAACAAGTTAAATCCACTTTTAAACCAGTTTATAAAAATATCATGGAACTTAAAAAGTATTAGCGTCTTATCAACCCAAGGAAGAGGATGGGCTGGCAA